AAAAAAAAAAAATACTCCTGAGTTCAGGTAATCTGCCTGCCTCCGCCTCCCAGAGTGCTAGGATTATAGGTGTGAGCCACCTTGCCCAGCCATACTCTGCTTTCTGAACTTAGTATATCATGGACTTTTCCCCATTTCTTGAAATGTTCTCTAAAAGCAACTTTTTTGTGTGTTTTGTTATTAAATGGTAATAACTTGGACTTCATAGACTATTTGAAGAAAGCAGAAAAATAAAATTAGAATTGCTTATGATTTTACCTCCTGGGCAACTGTTTTTATTTACTATTTGGGTGAAATACCTTCCAGTATTTTTTTGGTGTTTGTGTGCATATCTATGTTTTTTCTTTTTCTAGTAGAGATAGTGTCTTGCTTTGTTGCTCAGGCTGGACTATAGTGGTGCAGTCATGGCTCATTATAGTCTCAAATTCCTGGGCTTAGGCAATCCTTGTTGCTCAGTCTCCTGGGTAGCTATAGGCAGGCTAATATTTACATTTTTGGGTCTTACTATGTTGCTCAGGCTGGTCTTGAACTCCTGGCCTCAAGCGATCCTCCTGCCTTGGCCTCCCAAAGTGCTGGGATTATGGGCATGAGCTACCATGCCTGTTCCCATATTTAAGTACCCTTGAGATATTTTGTAGTTTGTATACTGCTTTTTATTTCTAGTTTTTGGGAGTATTTTTTATGGGTTTTTCTTGTTCTACTTTGGAAGAAGATCTTGCTCTGTTGCCTGGGTTAGAGTGTAGTGGGGTCATCACAGCTCACTGCAACTTCAAACTCTTGGGCTCAAGTAATCGTCTGCCCAGCCTGCTGAGTAGCTGAAACTATAGGCGCATACCACCACCAATTATTCTAAAAATTTAATATTTAATCTCTTACAGCAAATGTTTTTAGAAAACATGATTTGGGGCCACATGTAGCATGGTGGTTCGGATCACAGCCCCACATGCCAGTGTGGGTTTGTTTTTTTTTTTTGAGACAGAGCCTCAAGTTGGGTAAAGTGCTATGGCATCACAGCTCATAGCAACCTCTAACTCCTGGGCTCAAGCGATTCTCCTGCCTCTGCCTCCAAGTAGCTGGGAACTACAGGCGCCCACCACAATGCC